CGCATGCTGCACGCCGAGGGCTGGGACTTCGGCCACAGGCAGTGACGTCCGGCAGTCTCTGCCTCCTCTGTGCGCGGTGGAGGGTTGATTTTCTCCAAAAGCTTCCTCTTCTCGAAGGGGCTGGCCCTGACAGCCTGTCCCCACCCCGGCCCGACTTGCTCTTGGCTGGGGGAAGAGCCAGGAGAGACAGACAAGCGTTTCTTGGCAGAGTCAGACCGCACTCCGCTGCTTCCTGTGCTGCTGACGTCAGGCTCCGGCCCCAAATGCAAATCAGATTTTCCTTTCCACGAGTGCTCATTGCTCCAGCCGGGTTGCCAAAGTGCAAGTCCCACGTGATGGAGGCGAGCGGCGCTTTCCTGCGTGTAACACGCGGCTGGTATTGCCGACGGGCTGCGCAACGGCTGCTTACGGACAACGCGAGGGGCGTGTGGGCCGGGAGAGGTGCCCTGCAGAGCCGCCGTGCCTGCTCAGCCCAGACCTTGGCCGCGTCCCCAGGGCAGCCAGCCAGCGGTTTGCTCACCCACACGGGGACAGAGACGCGTGCGCACGTGCGTGTTTAAACGTCGATTCCCCTCAGAGCAACACCAACCGTGCTGCCCGCCACGCTGGGGGCTGTACGACCGGGCATCGAGAAAGTGCCGAAGATCTCACGAGACCTAAGAAACACGTCCTGACAGAGAGGGCCATAAACGCACTGCCAGCTGCAGTGAGCCCTGATCCTGCTGCTGGGGTTTTGCAATCCTTGCGGCACAGTGGCATTCACTCCTTACAGTGCGCGGCACGGTGGCAGATGCAGGGAGCGAGAAGTAAACACCAAAAGTGGTTGTATGGCCAGGTCTCACTAGCCAAGGATTAGGTTTAAAATATGTTCTTTTAGTGTTTCCCTTTTTTGCATTTAACCTGCTTTTGATAGACATTTGTAATTAATTAATTTGCCAGTGTACGTGCCACAAATACTTCTGGCAAAATTACCTACTTGGACAGCCTTACAGCTGTACCTCTGCCACCATGGGACAGCTGGCAATCTGTAACTCCTTCCCCCTGCCGTTCTTTTTGTTCATGTTTAGCCCTAGGTCTTTTGTGTTAATTGTGAACAGGCTGTGGGTTTTGAGAGCTTTTCATTTACTATTTCTTTGTAATCTGCATGTATTTTACTGTACAGCTAACTCGTTTTCAGTATCAAACTTACAGACTTGGGCAGTTTTCTGTATTTCCTGCCTCAGAAATCAAGAACCTTTCAAGTACCATTAATGTAATAATGAATTTCTTACTCCCACTGTGGCAAGGAAAAGCTGAAAAATGTGATATTAATGTAGCTACAAGGTCAAAAGACAGGAAAAAAAACTAAACAAAACTATCAGAAGTGTATTATTATATAAAATATCACAGTTCAAAGATTGCCCTGGGACCTATCTCTTTTAGCAGTAGCGCTGTTTCAACAATAATAGTTAAATGTTTGGGTTTTCTCCCTCTGTTTTCCCTGCTTACTTTCCCTCTGACATGTACCTAAATTCTCTGCCATAGGAAGACGATCAGAAAGTCTCGTAAGACGAGACTAAAATTTGTGTGCAAAGAACTGGATAAAAGCGGGAAGAAAGAGCACTTCTTTCCCTTGGGTGCTGGAAAAAACTGTGAAACCTTTTGGACTATTTGCCTCGTGGGAAAACGAGGGGAAAGAACGCATCTAACTGTGCTTATGGCTTCAGTTTCACACTAAACATTGGATGCAATAAAAGGTTTTACAAGGGAACTGAAACTTTCTTTTTTGTGAGGAGAACAATCTTCACTTCCAAATAGCGAGGTGGGGGCAGGACTGCTGCGAGCTTTCTGTGATCGCTGACCGACTCTTGGAACAGCTGGTTATTCCTCTGGCGTCTCCTGCCCGCAGCTGTGACCAGCCGCTTCCCACAGCAGCCGTTCCCACCGACCCCTCCTGCTCACCGGCCTGCTGCCCCCTCACTCTCCAATGAGACAGCGCTAGGACTCCGCTGAGAACTACCCACATCTTTAATGTGGTTGTCACAAGTAAACAGCAACTTTCACTCATTACTAACCTAGCTGAGTAACTAGTAGGAGGTTCCATTTTCCAGCATTCATGTCCTGGAGCCAGCTGGGGTTTGCACTAGCCTGTATTCTGACCCAAAGGAGCACTCCAGAACAGACAAAAGACACTTTCTGCATGTTGAGCAGTTCTCCAGAAGTCTACCTGTCTAGAACATCTGGTTTTGTTGTCTATTTTTTTAAACATATTTTATCAATAGGAGCTCTTTAATAACCAAAATTTTTTCGTACAGAATTTATGCACCTACTTTAACAATTCTAATTGAACAGGCTAGTTATGCCAATTACTTCCTCACATCTGCCAGTGCCTTGCACTTCAAGTGAATGCTCAGGCCACGGCTTTGGCTGAAGAACAAAAACCAAATGACAGCAGAAATGTTACGAGCAGTTGTGTTCCAATGACAATATGTAATCAAATTTGGTTTATGCTAGAATGCCTCCAAGTAATAAAAAGAAGATACACAGCTGGGATGATGCTATTACCAGACTAGTCCATGGTAGGGTCTTGGGAGCATTTGGTAACTGGACTCCTACAATGGGCCCAGCTGAACGAAGGTGTTACTGAACACGCTCACAACCGCTGCCACGTTGGTTAAAAAGACAAGCCAGCACCAGCACGACTGTCACCGCACTGTCAGAGTGTGGCGAGAGGATCAACTGTAACATCAGGTGTGACCCAGAGGTCTGCAAACACAAAACCTCGTCAGCTACTTGTGACAGATGGTTTTAAGTGCTTCTCATCCTAGAGTGGAAGTGCTAAGCTTTTAAACCTGATGTATGGAAAAAAAAATAAAATAAAGGTATTTCATGATTTGTCAACAGGAAAATGAACACTTAGATGGTATGTGAGAGCTAAAATTAGCCAAGCAGTTACAGAATTCGTATCACAAGAAAATGTATCCACAGCGCAAGCAAGCAGCGGTGGGAGGAATCGGGGAGGCAGCTGCGTGAACAGGGTTCTGCACCGGCCTTTGTATTTGTGTTCAGCCCCTTCCTCTCCCAGGCTTCTTGCACCACTGTGGAAAATTCAGTTTCATCTGCAAAATGAAAGTAGAATTTCCTTGATTATCTTATCTAGGGAAAGTATTAGATGTCAAGCACAGATTGTCTCTTGCTGTGCATTAAGCAAGAGGCAACCATTACTTTAAAGATGAAATACCTCCCTCCTGCTGTTAGGGGCTGTGCAAAGAGTAGTCAGCTACTGTTGGCAGAACGAAATGGTAGTATGAAGTTGTCAAGATAGGTCCAAATTAGGTACTTTGGTACTAAAAATCAGATGCCACAGTGCCCAACTTAGAGACAGCTGCCTGGGGTGGAATCCAAAAGTCCCCGTCTGGCCCCTGTTCTGTGAGTCAGGCATCTGCCACCTCCAGAGGGGACGGAGAGCAGCCTGCCTGCTCTGCAAGGACAGCCTCTGTGCTTCAATGAAATGCTAAAGAACAGTAGTGGGGTTTGTAAAACTCCTGTCCTAGGACTCACACACCTCAAGGATTCAGGGAAATGACACCTTCTACTTGGGCATTGCCTAAAGCTGGGGTGACAGTTTAGCATCAGCCACAACGCAGTCCTGTGGCAATGGAGGCCAAATGGTTTTGAAACTCAATCCCCCAGCATCTGCTACCGATCAGCTAGAACGACTGTTGGGAGTACTGCAGCAACACAGCACACCCTCACAAGCACTGTGAGGTTATTGGACAGAACTGGAGTAAAAGAGTTCGCGTGGATTTAATTTTTATGCCAAAGATCAACTCACGTACTTCAAATATGTACAAAAAAGTCTACAAGAAGGGGAGACATTCCACACTTACAGAACACGTTGATATTCTCAGTTTCACAGCTGTGTTTCTTAGGATGTACACCTGGAAAGAAACGTGCACGGAAGAAATAACCTGCTACCATCTCCTATCCATCTGCTTCCAGCACTGAACAGCTCTGCAGCTGCTACTCAGTGGACAATTCACACACCTGCTAAAAGCTAGGCTGCTCGGGGTCATGTGTGTGCGTTCACACGGGCACACGTTCTAACTGAGGTATGGGGGAACAGAACATAGGTAAAGAAATGTTTTCTCTGCCTATCTCGCCTGCAACCACGCATGGACCTGTCTGTGAGCTGGGCCCAGCAACAGGCCTGGCGGAGCTGACAGTCTGCTGTCTGCTCCTTGGGAGACACCAGCAGCTCGAGTGGTCCATGCTCCTGAAAAGGCCTCCCACTATGACCGGAGCTACTGCATTGCAATGGGAAAGGGTAGGACTCGGAGCATCTACCCCCTAGGAACGCTGCTACGCCTGCCCGGGCAGCTAGGGAAGAAAGGCGTTCCACAATGGGGATCCGGTCTCTGTGGCTGACGAGGCTGGATCACCTCGAGATCCACTGGGCAAGAATCCAATCACAAAGGATCAGTAAGGCATTCAAGGTACGATCCGTGTAAAAATGTGTCAGCCCCAGAGTGGATACGGCACGTGTTTATAAATGCAACGGTAAGAGGCAGAAAAACCCCTGAGCATTTACACGTCATCTTTCCACCACCGTAACATTTCAGGTCAGGGCCTCAGGGGGTGGCGATGGAAACCCTCGCACACATGAACACCCCCACGCTCTGTGACTCACAGGCAAATATGGGCTAAGCGTGAGGGAGCAAAACTCCATCAAAACCAAACTACTCAAGCAGAATGGGTGTTGGTCTGCCACTTACGATCATTAGAGCCTGGATTAAAGTAATCCTTGGTGTAATTTACTTTCTAATACACAGGAAGTTGCTCTGTAGGCATATTCTCCAAAGGGATGACCTGATCTTACGGCCCTGTGCAG